GCATACCAAACAAGCACAGCCTGGCATTGCAGTATGAGCCCCGCTACTTTTAGCATCTCTGTATACTGTATGAGAATTTTGATGCTGAAAGATGTAACTATACACACAGGCACATATAATCGTGTTTTCTTAGAAAATGGGAAAGAACACATTTCTTGAGGGGGTGGGTAATGGACCAAGAACGTGTAATATACCAGGATGTCTGTTACCCGCCTCCTACCAAGAAAGAATTGTATTTTCTTAACAAAATCATTTGGATAGAGGGTGGATAGGTGGGAAATTTGGGGCTTTTTTGTTAACAGACATGCTGGAAAGAAACGGCTTTGGTTGTCAGTCAAAAGGCAGTTTAAATTCAGATTAATTTAAGGGATTTGGTGGGGTTTTTTTTGTTACTGCAATTTAATTTTAAAAAAAGATACTTCTTAATTGCAAGCTGATGCCAACTGCTCATTGATATTCAGTGTTTCATTGCTTTCGCACAGCAGTTCATAGCTATAGCCCACAGACTAGTATATATGCATAGTATTAACAAAACATTAGTACATTGGGTTCAGCAGTGGTCCATGTTATTTCTGAAGCAACGCTGCGGGCTCCTGACACCGTAAGGGGGTAGATACACTGCAAGTCCATAGGGAATAAACAAATAATCCCATTATACTGTCTTGTGGCAGATACTTTCTTTTGTGGCTGTGCAGAACGACTGCCAATATTGCTCTCCATGCTGCCTGCTGGTAGCTGGGGGAAGGACGGAGGAGCCTTTTAGTTCATAGGTTCTATTACAAGAAACCAAACTGACAACAAAATGCTGATGGAGCTCCTCCCCCTACTCTCTGGGAGGCAGAGTCTTGTGAGTTTGGCAGCACATACTTCTCTGAATCCTTGAGTCTCCCTTACCTCGTTGAGCTGGATGCTGTGCCTAGCAACGCTTCTGCTGTCTATGAGCAGAGGCTGCAGGAATGCTCCTCCTACTTCCCTCTCCTCCCCATAACACTGACCGTACTACCTCTGTAGGGGAAAGAACCCCAACCTTGAGTCCTGCTTCAACCTTACAGGTATTAAAAGCTCTAGACTTCAGTCATGAATAATATCCATTCCTGTTCGTGTTAATTTGTGCACCACAGGACCTCCGATTTAACTTAATGCAGTTGTAATTCTCTTCTTTTGTCAAAGCTTGCGAGTATAGATGAAAGAGTAAGTGAGAATAAGGAAGAAAAGAAGTGGCTGTCACTCGGTGTTTTCTTTGAGATATTTTCCCCAAGGCTTGGGTTTCTTCAGAGCACTTACAAATACACTGAGGATCACATGTAAAACATCAAATAAGTTACTGCTTGAGGTGAGAACAAGTTCTTGTGCCAGCTCTAGCTCTCCATGATGACAGTCATGACTGGCACCCAAAGGCCATTTCCATGCATCAGTCTCTGCACTGAGTCTTTTCTGAAACATTTCTGTGGTTTGATCACTGGAAAACATCTCAAGCCACAAGAAAATGGATTAAAGATTCAGCTTTCACTGCATGTTATGTCTGTGTTAAGAAAAGCTAACAGTTTGATCCCCCTCAGGCAAGGCCAGAGCTCTGGAGCCAGCTGCTGGCAATGCTGTGTGGGCTATGAAAGGTCTCCAGAAGAGCATATACCATCTGCAACAGCTATGTCTGTAACATCCCAAGCAGCTCCTGCTGTTCTTTCAGGGCTGAGTAGCAGCTTTGCTGTGGCTGTTAATTTTAGAGCTTTAAAATGTGGTATCACCATTGTTCTGAATGAAACTGGAAGCATCTTTTTGCATGTGCAGAAAACAGGTCCAGATAAACTCAGGCGAGTAAAGATACATCTCTGACTTGTTCAGACAATACAACCTGTGCAAATAACTGTGAATGCCTACAGGCATATGTGAGGAATGTGTGGCACAACTAGCACTGGAAAAGGGAAGGCAGGACAATTTAAAACAGACTGATCTAGATCAGTTGTTGTAGGTATAGCAGGTCTGCAGTACTTGACTTTTTTTGTGAGACTCAAGCTTTCGTCTGTCATGTGCACAGCGTAAGACTTATGATTCCTTTAGTTGTTGCTTCTCTTTGTCCATAAGGCAGGCACTTAAAAAGACTTTCAGGATATGAGTTAAAATTATTTCCTAGTTTTTTTAATGGATACTTGTTTCAGAATAATCTGCAGGTTTGTTTTGTTTTTTAGGCTTTCATATGAGAAGACTGGAAGCTGGCTGATGACCTGATTATGTACTTAGAATCACAGAATCATAGAATAGTTAGGGTTGGAAAGGACCTTAAGATCATCTAGTTGCAACCCCCCTGCCATAGGCAGGGACACCTCGCTCTAAACCATATTACCCAAGGCCTTGTCCAACCTGGCCTTGAACACTGCCAGGGATGGAGCATTCACAACCTCCCTGGGCAACCTATTCCAGTGCCTCACCACCCTCACAGGAAAGAATTTCCTCCTTATATCCAATCTAAACTTCCCCTGTTTAAGTTCTAACCCATTACCCCTTGTCCTATCACTACAGTCCCTAATGAAGAGTCCCTCCCCAGCATCCCTATAGGCCCCCTTCAGATACTGGAAGGCTGCTATGAGGTCTCCACGCAGCCTTCTCTTCTCCAGGCTCAACAGACCCAACTTTCTCCCCCTGTCTTCATACAGGAGGTTCTCCAGTCCCCTGATCATCCTCGTGGCCCTCTGGACTTGTTCCAACAGTTCCATGTCCTTTTTATGTTGAGGACACCAGAACTGTACACAATACTCCAAGTGAGGTCTCACGAGAGCAGAATAAAGGGGCAGGATCCCCTCCTTCGACCTGCTGGTCACACTCCTTTTGATGTAGCCCAGGATACAGTTGGCTTTCTGGGCTGCAAGTGCACACTGCCGGTTCGTGTTCATTTTCTCATAGACCAGCACCCCCAAGTCCTTCTCCACAGGGCTGCTCTGAATCTCTTCTCTGTACTTGAGGGAATGCAGTCTTTCTAGAGGAGTCCCTACAGCAACATGCCTCACCCCACTGAGGTAGCCACATTCCCTGCACAGCCAACTTAGCAAAGTATACACAAATAGCCTTCACCATGTACACTGCTGCAGAAGCACTGTATGTGAACTGTCTGGTCCCCACCACCCAAACCCATAGCTCCTATTTTCCCAGGCAGTGACACCTTGCTAATGTGCAATGCCATCTTTCTGAAGTTGTAAAAAACATAGCCAACAACCAGCATGGTTTCTTTTTCAACATATATTTTCAAGGCAAAAGCTTAAAAAATGTTCATCTTTCTAAACTGGGTGCTTGACCTAATTAAGCATAGATCAGAAGTAACGTGTGACATACAGAGGGGCCTTTGCTAGGGAGTGCCAAAGCCTTGCCACTCTGGACAGCATGTTTCTGGTCAGATTCTGCTGCAGGCATCCTTTGGCAATTGCTTGAAACTAGACATCTGGGGAATACAGGAGAAGATTAATTCCTTGCACCTCAAGAAAGACTTTTGAACTAGCTTGGAGGCCTAGGATATAAATATACTGTCATCATAACTTGTTCTTGCCTTCACTGCCAAAAACAAGGATAATTTTTTGAAGAATGCCAGCCTTGTAAATACTCTGCTATTCTCAGCTCTCAAAAGAGCAACTGTGTCATTTTTTTGTGATGTAGCATTACTTTTTTCCGACAGCTAGCATGATACAAGACTAGAGAAAACTGGATGCTGCATCATTTCAAAACCTAGCTGCTTAAAAGTCTGATAACCTTAAAGTGCTTATTCAGTGTTATCTGAATAAAAAATATTCCAGTATTAGATTTCACTTTGAAAAGCCAATAGCATGATAAATTTGTTGCTGTTGCACTAAGGCTATTGTTGCACCAGCTACTTTGAAGAAGGCTCTCTCTCTCTCTCCTCCCCCCAGGAATTCATACTTCATTAGGTGAAAAAAGTATCTCCAACAGCCATAAGCATGAGGAAGTCCCTGACTTCCTTTCTAAACTGCAATGTAGGAAAAAATGCATTACTTTCACAGCACATGACTGTTTTTACAGAGAAGTCACAGAATCATAGAATTGGTTAGATTGGAAAAGACCTTTAAGATCATTGAGCCCAATTGTTAACCTCAATGGAATCAGATTTCAGACTTCTTAATTCCTACTGACAGAAGCAGCAGCAGAACTGGCCTGATAGGATTTACTCCATACATGTCTTTCTTTACCCTTTTTCGCCAGGGGAAGTGATAAACTGTAAAGTAATTTAGCTGTAATGAAAGCATGAAGAACAGTATCAGGCTAGTTTTAAGCCACAGGGAGAAAGGTTTTCTGCAGACACATCCAAGGGGGAAACAGACCTATTCCTCAAAAGCAATAAAGAGTTTCTGAATTCTTCAATATTTTAAGAAGCCTTCTCTTCATTCTCAGAGTAAATAACAGCAATTTTTCAAGCCCAAAAACTGTCCCAAGCAAATGTGGTAAATGCAAGAGCAGAGATTTTTTTACAGACTGCAACCTTAACTGCAGAGAGAAAAAGTACCTCTCCATAAGAAAGCAGCTTGTGAGTGAGCAGCGTTAACACAGGTACATGGATTTTATGTGTGTCTTCAGTTATGGCTTGAAATCAGTCTTCAGTAACAACATAAGATATGAAAACTGTTCAGTGTCATCACTGACTTAGTGAACCGATCTTTTTCCCTCTAAGTTTAAGAAAACTGAAAAGGTAAAATCACGATTTTCAATAAGGTACCATTTCACTGAATGAGAATGAAGGAATAGCCTCTTTAGGAAGACCTCTTACAGGTTAAATTTCCTTGGCTGGGTCTTCCCTGATGGTATCCTTTTCTTTCTAAGTCTGTATGCTTTAAATTTACCTCTTCTGAGGAAGAAATGGAATTATGATAGCCTAAGTAGTACATGGGAAGACACTGACTTTGGTTAATCCTTACTTCTGCTCATCAGACTCTAGATGAATGGTCTCAGCTTGACCTGTTCCTAAAGCTTCAGTTATGGCTTTAAAAGTTGGCCTGGTCCTATGGAAGAAAGACCACCATGTATTAAAGCATTAGTTAAAATTAAAAAGGTGAATAATAAATGCACAATAAATGCAGGCTGCTGTTGGAGGGATTGGATTTTTCTGCTACTTTCAGACCCCGATGCCCATAGCTGCTGATTAGACGAGATGGAGGGTCCTTCTGAAAGAGGCTGGTTGCTGATGGATGGCTTCAGTGCCTGAGGGTGCTGGATGCCCTGAAGTAGGAAAGGAACTTGTAGCAGAGGCTCACCACAAAGTACCAGATGTTTCGAGCCATCTGTGACCTTGCAATGAAGATGCGCCAGATGATAACAAGAAGGGTGGTGTTGAATGCATATCGGATGTTCCTCAGCCTGAGAAAGAGAAAGAGGCATCTTATGGAGGAAGACAAAAACAACAAAGAGCTTCCCAGATTGCTTCATTTGCTACAGGTAATTCTGTAAGAAATCCTGTTTACAAGTGGCCCTTGGGCTTTTTGCCATTCCTATTTAAGTAAAGACACCATGCCTAAGATGTCCCTGCCAAGGACAGTGTTGAAGTTAGAGTATAGTGAATAGTTATTGGTATGGGTGGAATATCTGTATTGCAAGTCTCCTGTGTTCTACGTACTCTCAGTATGACTGTTCTGGTTTGAAATGAGCATGTTTATTTTATGATAGTCTAAGTCCAATACTTTCTGTTTTGATTTGGTATATTGGTATTTATTAATTTGCAGGATTGGTAGTAGGCTAGAGGGCCTTTGCAGGAGATGATGAGTAAGGTTCTTCTACTTGGGTAGAACCTTGTTTTTAATGTTGGGAAATTACTCAATAGTCAGAAACAGTCTTCAGTTTCACAGTAACTGCAGAACTAGGGTTTTGTGGGGGGTGGTTTACACCATATATTTAAATGGTATTACTGGATCGTTAAGATGTTAATCATAGACTTAACTAGGTTGGAAAAGACCTTTAAGATATCTCAGCACTACCAAGTCCACCATGTTGTCCTCTTTCTGTCATGCAAAGTTTCTGCAGCTCTTCAGTTCTCACTTTCTCAGTGTCTGACCAAGGGAAGAAAGCTTCATACCTCATGTCCCCAAGACTGGTTTAATTTTTGTAAGTCTTTCTTTTTTGGTAAATTTTCTCACTGCACTATACAACACTGCTTGTTTGGACAAGGTACTGGCCTATTACAGAGGTTCTTATAAATCCCTTAAAAATTACCCATGAATGAAGAATGTGTTTAGGATTCCTTGCTACACCAACAGACTGTTTTATGCTTCTAGCATTTACAGTGCAGTAGAATGGTTTTCTTGAAGGAAACAACCATGCTCTTAGATAAGAGAGCTGCTCCTTCTGCTGTTGCCTGTACTTCTCAGTAAAAGGGCTGGAGAAGACAGGAAGATCATAATCTTTAATTGAATAGAAGGACAATCTCAAATTGCTCATTCAGGCTCTCTTAAACTATAACCAGGCACTGAATGCATAAGTGTTAGCTCTTCACTGATTTTGAGAAATTTTGCCCATTCCCCCCCAAGGAATTAGAAATTTTAATTTTACAATGAAATTTAAAATCATACAAATGCTTAAAGTTTTTGTGCAATGTATTTAAATTGCTAAAAACTTCAAGGAGCTTAAAAAAACTTAAATCTCACCCTTATTTTTTCTTTATAATTCTAAATGACCAAGATCATCCAAATTCATGTATTCCTTTTATGCATTGTAACTTTGTTACTTGGTCATCCGCTGGGAAGGCATAGTATCTAGCCCCTGATCATTAGTGTCATCCTCTTTTTCTTACAGGATGCAAAAACAAAATCCTGACAACCCTCTCCTGTAAGAAATAAGCTATGCTGTGTTATTCAACAATAATTATTGCAATGTAACCAAAATAATTTTCCTCAAAAGCCACTGAAGGTAGCCAGGAGCTCTTGTCCTTGTCACTGGGTATGACTTACTTTCGTAAGTGCTGCTTTGCTGCTGGAATGCCAGCCATGTCCTCATTTAGCAAGTACTTCTTAGCGCCTAGGCAGTAGCTTTCAATGTATTCTGACCAGTGCAGCTGACGAACATCAAAGTTGTATAACTGGGATTTAAAAACAAAGAGCAGAAGTTAAATGGCAGACTTCAAAACAAGTTCACTGTAAGCACTTCACTGACCTCTCTTCCTGACAGGGCCCTCTCTCTGAATGAAGCTCTTAAAGCCACCAAGTTTCCAAGAAGACATGGGTACCAACACACTATATTTTACAGCTGTCCATTAATGTCTTACTCAGATAGGAATCTGGGCAAAGTAAGCAGAAATTTAGTGCTAGCTGCCAGAAAATAAAGATAAGTTTGTCCTTCAGGTGGCAATTTTTGCATAAATACATGTATCTGTACACACACACAAAAAACTGTGGAAGAAAAATGGCATTCCACTCAGGTAAATGGATTTGTATGAAAACCTCCATGCAACTTTTAATGTGTCACTGGAATTATGTGTAAATAACTAAGTTGGACATTGCAACAAGAGGTGCCTCTGCATCGGCATGACTCTCTGCTGTGCTGCATTCTCAGGAGCTAGATCAATAGAAGTCCAAGAAATGGTATACTGTGGTGTTTGGCATGAAGATATCTAATTGCAGAGCTGATTACCTCAGTTAATTTCAGATGCTTATGCTGGAAAAAATGTTAGCAAGCTCTCAGGTGCTTGTCTGTCCATTAAAGCAAAGAAAGCATTTGTAAAGAGGAAGAGTTTCTGTTACAGATTTTTTTACTATTGTTATTGTCATCATTATCATTACTATTATTTAATGAATGAGTGAAGTGAATGGCATTTCTTATCTACAGGTTCTTAAAAGGCAAGATACTCAGAAAAATACCTTCCTTTCACTCCCATCCCAGTCCAGGCTTAGGTGCAAGAGCTTTGGTATCATCAATAGCTTGAACAGATGGGTACTAGCAACTATGTAGATCTTGGTGCCTTTGTCAAATATGTATAGACATGTGATCTGCCCATAAACTCTCTAGCTTAAATACTGCTCACAGTGCAGCAGTGGCACCACTGGATGCGGTGCATCTCACAAAGTTCTCAGCTTGGGAAGCCTGAAACTTTTGAGCTTGCACCAAGTCCTTGATGCTGTATTTTTTTATTTACCTGCCTCAAAACTAGCTCCTATCATAGCACTAAGGTTCCCTCTACATCTGCTGTAGTGACAGCAGTGCCACTGCCTTTAGAAGTTAGAATTTGCTGCATGTGCTTCCTCTGCAGACTAGGGAAGAAAACTCTTGATTCTACTACGGGGAGTCTGTGGAAGAATTTCATTATGTGAGACCAGTTTGATATGAATGCCTATGTATCTCTTTGCAAGGACATACTGACCAAAGGTGCATTCAAGCTTACTACAACACTACTCTGTATTCCTTCAGGCTTTCCATTAGAATCCCATTCTTAAGGAGTCAATAGTTTCAAACCTTTGACTAGAACAGAGCTTGGCATCCTGCAAATTAATGGCTCTCTGGGGACTTGAATAAAACAGGAACTTTTTTCATATTGTTCAGGGTAAGATACGTGTTAATTAAATTTCCATGTGCAGTGCCCATTAAAACCAATGTGGTTGAAAATGTCAAAATCTTTCAAGTCATTTCCATCTAGATCACCCATCACAGTGCCTTGTTAACTGGAAAGACTTCAGTGATTGACCTGTCTTGAAAGGAAGAGCAATACGCCTCAGGAGAAGACACTCTCCTGTAATAAACAGAAGGTTCCTGATAAGTTTTTTTAATGAAACAGGAGGAAATAAATTATTTCGGGTTAAAGTCAATTCCAGTTATCTGGACGTCATTTGAAAGCTCCACAATACACCAGAAAGAACTGCTGCAGATTAAAGGAACTGGAGATTAGCGATCCGTATTTAGGACATTCTTACCTTTTTGTCCTCTGTGTTAAGGTGACTCATTAACATATTCATATTCTCTGAAGACCAGTCCCAGGACTGGGTGGAAAAATACTGCAGGAGTGTCATAGACTTGTGCAGTCGATTGATAATCTTCATCATTCTGAAACAAGAAGCATGTCAGAGGTGGACAGGAAGTCTGACATTATGCAAATGCTGTCGGTTTGCTCTGTAGGTGTTTTCACCAGTCCAGGTTAATAGACATTTCAGTTTCTGAGGAGCACTGCACTGGTGCTGCAAACTTGCTCAGCAACACTACCTGCTCCAGCTGAGGTCTTGAGCCTACAGCCATCCAGCTTTTATTCTTGGCTCAAACATGGGTGCAAAAATGCATTTCCCAGGGCAAGCCTGATGCCTAACTTACTGAACTAAACAAGGGTTGGAGGCCATGTCTGCAGCATGTACCATCTCTGAGATGATGAGCCTATCTGAACTATTATGAAGTCTGCACAGCAGACAGCAAAACCACAAAGGGATACTGCTTGCCCCCTGAGGTGGCTGCTGCTTTTTCTACCACAGGCCCATCCTTCTAGGCTGTCAAGGTCACTCCTGAACAGCATCCCTTCCATCTAGAATACCAACCACACTACCCAGTTTGGTGGCATGCTTTTCATGTCTTTGGGCTTCTTTGGTATCTCTCTCTCAAAAAATAACTTTTTATTAAAGGGCATTCCCCTCCCTGTATAATATTGTGGCAGTTTGGAGTATTTTTTGTGACCTCTAAAATCATGCAAGTCCATTAGATTTTATTTTGAGGGGAGTGGGTAGGGTGGGGTTTCAATGTCTTCCTGCAGTGTGAGTGTCCTGGTAAAGATGAAAGCTGCTTTGGGGGCAGAGCTGCTTAACAGGGACTTTGTAAATGTAGTTTCAGGTCTCATGTGTCTAGGTCTTTTTTCTGTTACTCTTTTTTTCATATAAAAGGGGGTGACAATAATGCTGTCCCACCTTGCAGTATTATTTTACAGTTGTCCCAATGGTCATGAATATAAAAGCCTTTGGCAGTTGTGTAATGTACAGTGCTCAGTCAATTTTGAGAGACCACCACATTCTCTCAGACTGGATATGGGCAAGAGAAAGCATTAAAAGGCTGATTTCTGTGGTAAACAGAGCTGCTTTCATGAGAGGTTTTGAGCTGCCCGGAGGGTAACACAGTTGCTGTTGACAAATAAAAGGCAGCAGTCTGGGTAAGAATGGTGCCAGGCTGGGCTCTCGCCATGCAGATGTGACTGCCACAATGATAAGCACTAAGCACAGCAGAAGACGACACAATGAGTACATCAGTTCAGAGGAGAACTGCTCAGTTTACGCAAAGTGAATTGAAAGATCACTAAAACCTCCTAGGCACTCCTACTCAGCATTAAAGTGCTTTTCATTTTAGAAGCAAAGCACACCGTCAGATTAAGGGAACCTTCATTCTGAATAATTATGTGCACATTGATTGAATGCAGTTTATCTAAACTACTTTAAAATTACCACAGATTAATTTTCCTCATTATGCCTGTGTAGGCAAGTACGATGAGACAAAGCTTTGTGAATATTTTAATACCTTTTAGAAACCTGGGAAACAGAGTATATGACTAGACTGCAGAGATCTGAAGTTGCCCCTCAAACTGGCTCCCCAAAAGCCATGAGGGTATTTAAAGAGCTTAGGGGTAATGGAATCTGTCAGAAAGAAATTACAGAAGAATCAACTGTGTGTCCCTACTTATGTTTTGGAAACAGGTTATCCACATGGCCTTCTCTCAATGTGGGCAGAATAAGATGTGAGTGTAGATCTACCCAAAGCAACATTTCTGGGTGGCTAAAAGTAAGGATCAAAAAGAGAAGCGAAGCATCTGAAGAGTGTATGAAAACCGTGTTTCATGTTAACTGACAGCTCAAATGTGACCACATTCAAAATACTGACTAATTTGGATGAAGAAGTGGTCTACTGAAAAACATCAACCTGCTTCTGTAGCCTCAGAGAGGCTATGGGAAAGATTTCTTATACAAAATCTCATTCTCCACCATGAAGGAAATGGGAATTATTAGCTGTCACTTCACAGCCTTATTAGTTACACTTTGAAATGCATCCTGTCTTCCAGAAAGCTGTTGACAGCAATGATTTCTTTATTTGCTTCCATACTGAGCCTTGCATGAGCAGGTTCTCAGGTGCAACAGACTGCCCCAGGAGACTACTAATGATATAAAACACATTATTTCCCATGTCGTGGATGGATGTGCAGCAATAACAGTAAGCCATTCAGGGAAGTTTTGCTACACATCTAGCAATTTGTGAAATGAGCTAACACTTAAACTTCTCAGGAGAGCCTTCTGAAGCTGAAGGAGATGACTCCTGTACCTACCCTTTGGTATCAGCATGTGATAACCACAGATGTGAAGATGACCAGGGACTCCAGGCTGGGGCAGTTCATTCTCAGAACTTGGAGATCTGTTCTCCATAACAGTGGCAGGCATGCAGGAGGCTGAAGGTGTGTGGTTTCTTACCTGGGCTTTCTCCCCGTGAGCCTCATGTACAGGTCATAGAGTATGGCTGGAGCCTTGTGACTGACAGTTATCCAGTACTGGTTTATCAAGTAGTTGGACGTCAAGTGAGCATTGGGTGTTCGGAAGGCCTGCTCCAGCGGGTTCCTTTTGAATGTGGACATAACATACTGTTCTGTAAAAGAACAGGCATTTAACTTAAAATCAGGGACTTAGTTGAGCACAACCATACCAACACGCTGGAGTAAAGCCCAAATTACAGAGCTTAACATCTTTACAGTTCCACAAACTTCGTAACCAGGGACTGGACAAGGTCATCTCATGGCCCCTTCTGGCATTAAAATTGATGACTCCATCTCTATTGCCTATTTGAAATACAATCTGACTCTAGACTTAGCATCAGCAAACAAAAAATTCCTTATCAAAACACCAAAACGTAATGGAAGAAAAGCAGGCAGTTGGAGCCTGAAACTCTTCAAAACAAGGAACTAGAGTTCTGCTTTCACCTGCAGCAGCAGAGCAAATTGGTGTTAACATATCTTCACATCACTGAAGGCAGAAGTTGATCTGCTAGCATAAAACAAAAATGACATTTCTGATTTTTAATCTAATTTTCTAAATGGCTGATACCAAGATTAGTCTGACTCAGAGACCATGATTTAGTGGTGGACTTGCAAACATAAAGTGCTGCTTCTAAGACTTCACTATACCCTTTCAAACCACATCTGACCCACACCACCAAATACCTCAGCCTGTTTTCAGATGGGCCCTGAATGCACTAAAGCAGCAAACTGTCTTGGATTTTTAATGTAAAAACTAATGATAGAGTAGTAATCTTTCTTTCCCTTTTTATGGTAAGGCACAAATATGTTGGATCTGATTCTGAGCTCTTGCAGTGGCACAGAAGTGGCATCTACATGTGCCTATCTGGGGCATTTACATATTGCAGAGGCTTAATAGAACTGCAGTATTTCAATATCAGACTATCATCATAGGGACTGATAAACAGATGGTGCTCCTATTCCTGAGCACCAGCAAGCTCAACAAAGAAGAATATGTGGGCTTTTTCTACTTAAAAAAAAAAAGAATTAGAGAGTTACAACACCAATATGTGCTCATATTCTAGTTTACTCTCTAAGCTTATGTTACAAATAGAAAATCAGATGAAAATTTGCAAGTCACAAGAAATATCCAGATCATCCTCAGATAAGCAGATTTCAATCATAATATTCAGACAGTAGTCTCATGTATCCATGGTTGGCTCATTACTGCACTTCAAGTACTGACTTTTGCTTGTTTCAAGTAACAGCAACTAGCGGAGACTTTTTAGCTGACTTTAGGCAAACTTTTAAAATAATATAATTTAGTTTTAGTGCAAATTCATCGTTACTTTTTGTGTCCCTTATGCTGCAAGTTTAATGGCTGAAGACCAATTCTCCTGAAACTCTTCTTGCAACTGAATAGCAACACTGACTGCCATTCCTCCTGATTCATGTAGCCACACTGCAATGGTGTGGTTATATTGTGGTCATCTTGTGGGCTGAGGTATGGAAATCTTATCCTTTGCAGCATGTTCTCTCAGAATGGCAAGGCTTAGCTAAAAACTCCTGTTTTAACTTTTCCAGGTAGTGTGCCTGGCAGCGAGGGTTCGCTGGAGCAGTTTTGAATGCTTTGGAAAGGTGTTTATTCCTGGCAATAAGCAGTTTGGGATGGGCTGCTAGGAAGGAAGCCGTTGTCCTGGCCCAGCTCTTGACAGAGTTTGTGTCTGTCAAAGCAAGAGTGTAAGAGTTTCTTTCCTCTGGGTTAGCACCATTGCCATTTACTACAATTATACTTTGTCAAAGTCATAGCTGGCTTAAATGTAGAGATTTGCTCCCAGTTTGGAGAGGGCTGTGTATCTGTGGCTATTCAAGTAGCTCACGGATCAGAAAAGCAATCCCATGTGTTCTGCTACTCATTCCCTTAAGGAAGATTCTCCAAGAGGCACTTTAAATCCTAGTTTGTTTATAAACTCTCATTTGCTTATCAATATTTAAGTTAATTTAGCTTCATTTGGTCACTTCATTCCGTAATGGAACCCCACTTGTTTAACAGGAAACCACTGATATTTTGGAATTGTGATTTTTTTTGATGTTGTCCGCAGCATATAGCTATAGCTCTGTTTATTCAAATCCTTCTGTTAATATACTGAAGATCTACTTTTCAGTTGTAAACTGGCTGAGAAGGTTTTCTTTTGCAACCATGTTGAAGACATTACTGACTCCCTTTTCTCTTTGCATTACTGGCATCCTTCATCACGACTGCAAGAAAGAACTAACCAGTAAGTAGAAAATGCAGCTCTTGTCATTTCAGATCATCAGCCCTTACACCAAGTTCACATAAATCAACAACATCCTTATCATCTTGGCTACTTGAGGCTTGTAGCAGAAAATGCAGGTGTAGTAAAGGAGCTGTAGTATTATGCAGTGATCCTACTTGGTGAGAGAAGCACCTATGTCAAGAGCAGATGATGTATCTGCTGAAAACTCAAGAAAAATTCTGCAAGTTAGGAATGAAAGTGGTTTTGTTCTAAAATACACATAAGAAGGTAGTGAGACCAACTTGAAAGACTTACTGAAGAAAGCTGGGAAAACACCAGCACTGTGTTAACTTGGAACAGCTAATGCTACAGGTGTTTTCTTTATGAACCTCCCTTACCCTGGCTTGCACTGACTCAGCACAATTGCTGTTTCATTTCTGGATAGTGTTCAACTTCACAAGCTGCAGTAGTTTGTATCGGAAGGAGACAGAAAGAATCAAACAGACAGACAGACAGATTGGTCAGGGAGGCAGAAACTCCCGAGCTAGAATCATACCATCTCTAGGAGCTAATTCTACAGCTCCAACAAAGGCAGATTTAGCAGGAGAAAATCAGACACCACTCTCGCCTAGGTTGACTGTTAAGGATAAATTAGAAAGATGTTTTCCCATGCTGAACAGCATTTTAAAGCCTGCCTTATGATTGAGAGTAGAAATTGCAAAATGTACTTCACAAAGTCATACCAGCAAGAATTCCACTGCAGCAAAGCAGATTACGCTTCTTCAGATTAATGCTCAGTTATTTGACCACATTTTTGTAATAGCAGGGAAAGTAACAAGAAAGCCAGAAAAAATCCCAAGGCACAGCATTATTTGGAAAAGACATAAGTAAGTTAAAGGTTCCTTTTAACACTAGAGGTTTGTCTGTATCTGGAGTTCTGTAGAATAAATGGTTTTACAATGGATGTTTACGCATGAACTCTTAAGTAGACATTTATTTTTCAAATAATTATCTTCTAGATCTCTTTCTCCTCCCTCCAAGCTCATCATCTTTGTACTCAAAATGTTCTCATCTCAGCACTTCTCTTTGTTACCCAGGGCATCCTTAGCCCAATCCAGCCTCAGTTTCTCTGATCTTCCTCTTATTTCCTCCTCTCTCCCTCAAAAAAGAAATCTACTCTGTTGTGTTTGCCTGTCACTCCTACAGCTGGTCCTGGTGTAGGTCTTCCTGAACACATAGCCCAGGTTGTCCCCTCTGCAAAAACTATGTTTTAGTTGCACTAAAACACTCAGTCCCGCACCAGATGACTCCATTCTCTGCCCTTGTTTCTCAGCAGCTGCCAGTCTCACTCTCACAACCCTCCACCTCAATGATCGCTTACAGACCCTGTGCCAGTCTGGCCTTCCCAGACTCCCCTTCCCTCTGCTGATCTTGTGCCTCCTGTATATTTGGATCAGCCAGTTTCCTTCATGCTGGGGAAAAAGCAATTTCTGAAGAAGCTGAAAAACCCCTGGAGTAGAGACCTGGCCTCAATTATTTCAACCTGAAAGGCTGGCAGAACTAAACACAGAAAGAGACGGCTTTCAAAAATAGTAGGTGGCAACTCAAGTAGCAGATGCTGTCCCATTGGGAAGGAGGGAACTAGTGAAATTTGGTCCTTCTGTGTAAGGGGTGGACTACTTAGTGGTAGCTCTTACTTAAGAGAGATCATGAATCGTAAAGTCCTGTTGGAGTGCAAGCCATGGGACTAGCTGCCCAGAAGCCAAATAATAGTTGAGTAGAAAGTAACATGAATGGGTTGTGAAAATCTGTCATAAAGATTTTAGGATTAAGAGCATTTACAAAAAGAAATAAATAGGAGACAATTGAGAATGTAAACAGGATGGCTGCAGGTGTAACATTCCAATGCAATAAACCTTCCCCAAACTCATTTCTTAAACCATGCAACATATTTGAGGACCAAATTTTGCTCTTTGATACTCCATACTAATTCTCTTCAGCCTGCTCTTCTCAGAAAAACTGTGGATACATGTGGCACAAGGAGTTCCACAGTGCCACTAAAGGAGAAAGTTCTGTCTTCATTCCCATCACACAGCTGAACTGATTATGCGAACTTCTGCTGCACCCAGATGATTTCACTGTTAAATCCAGTTATAAGCAAAGTAAAATAATAAGACTGATTATAATGCATTAATACATTGCTGTTTTCATCAGTAAAATGATGAAACCCACTGAAAATGGGTTAAGAAAGGCAAACCTCAGTTAGTATTGCAATGGTGGCTGTAGCGTGAAGTCACAGCCTGTGAAGAGCTTTGCATTTACTCCTGTGAAAAAGCCACAGAAGATCTGTGACTGATCACAGCGCTGTATCTCTCATTGAAAAGGCTGCCAGAAACTTGGTGGGATGTACTCACCACTCAGCCAATTGCTGAAACCTCATCCCTACTAGATCACTTGATCAAGTATCATAGTTAGGACATTAGTGGGACTTTCACAGAAGCCTTGTTCTGAAATGCAATTATACAGGCTGAGAATATTTGGGCTGCTCAGCCTGGAGAAGAGAAGCTGCATGGAGACCTCATGGCAGCCTTCCAGTATCTGAAGGGGGCCTTACAAGGATGCTGGAGAAGGACTCTTCATTACTAGGACAAAAGGTAATGGGTTCAAACTTAAACAGGGGAAGTTCAGGTTAGATATAAGCAAGAAGTTCTTTCCTGTTAGGGTGGTGAAGCACTGGAATAGGTTGCCCAAGGAAGTTGTGAATGTTCCATCCCTGGCAGCGTTCAGTGCCACGCTGGACAGAGCCTTGGGCAACATGGTCTAGTGTGAGGCGTCCCTGCCCATGGCAAGGGTGTTGGAACTAGACGGTCTTAAGGTCCTTTCCAATCCAAACCAGTCTATATTCTATGTTCTGATTCTCTGCTGACTTACTCTTTGCCACTTAAAAAGTGCAAAGACAAATGAAAAGCAAAAGCTGAGAAGTGAAACACATAGCAGTGACCTGCCAGCTTCCTGTATTTAAAGCCCAAAGATATGAATGAATGTATAATGGAAAGCATCTCAGGCCCTATGAGTCTGTCCAATGCACTGACTATATGTAGTATTTTACAGCTGAGCAAATTCTGCTGCTTGGCTTCAGGAAGAGTTTTCCACTGTAAGGGTGTTGGGATTTGTCTTGCGTTTCGTTTATCTCTGCCTTGAAAGCATATCCACCTGAAGAAAAGTCAGCCATGAAATGAATATGAATCCTTCCATTGAAAGATTCATGATCAAGACTCAAACTGTTCTTGAAGCACACCAGTTATTTCAAGATTTGCCTTCTCAAGTCTACACCAATTATTTCTGTTTAGAATTTTCCACATAGAAAGAGGAAGAATGGCTACTTTACTTCCATAATATACTAGTTTTCACTTACTATCAAGGCTCTCCAAGTGATTTCAAAGCACAGAAAGAACCCCAAAACTGGCAATGAGAAAAGGAAGATGTCCTGCTATGGCTACAGAGAGCATCTTTTCATAGAATTAAGGGGCTAGTACTCTTCTTTTTTCCAACACTTTCATACCTCTGTGCAGCAAAGCACGTACTTTGCTGGTTTGTTCTGTGATTACACCCACAATGAAAACTGAATAGATGCTTTCCTGAGCTGAATGCCCAGCACGAGCTGCTTTTGCTCACCGGACCCTCACTGTCTGCAGCTGGGCCTCCCACATACAGCTTAAATGGCACTTAAATATAGGAAACCACCTTTTCAAAGCCTGGCAGAGAAATGCTATTGACGTTTGACATATTCTAGATTTAAATTAGATCTTACCCATTTCTCCCCAGAAGAAAGGGTTGATTCCACCTGTTGTGCAGTTGTACACCAACATGTTTTTTGGTCTGGAAAAGAGAAGTATTATTTTAAGCTGTATTAGAAAATCACCCAAAGCTTTAAGTAACAGAACATGAAATCTAACAGCCCAAGAAACAGTAACATCAGCTCATAAAAAACCCATACTTTTCATAAATATAAAAATGCAGTATAAAATACAAAGTTTTTATAAGATCCAGTCAGATTCTGGAAAACAAATGAAGTTAGTAAAGACAGTTGGGGTTTAATAAAAATAATCCATATATAACTCATGAAAAGTTAGAAAACCTATAAGCAAAGTGTGCATACTGACAAATTTCTGATTACATTTTTCCCCAATAGTTTCTCTAAGTATATTGTAAATAATTGGCCCAAGCCAACCTCGGGGACACACTGTATTTTACAATCATTTTCTTAAAGGATATGATTTTTGCTGCTTTTTAAATTCCATTTGTTATGGTGGTGATTACGAATCAATCCATCAAAATTCTCATTTTAATACCAAATAAAGTCTGGCTGTTATTTGGGCATGGAACTAAATACAGATTACACTGGTTTAATGTCTTCCTTTAATATAAGACATGAACGGCTTTTTCAACCTAAACCTGCCTTGCCAAGGGTGCAAGTGATCAATACAGCATTTTTCTTACTCTGCATTAGCAGGTGAAGCCAAAATACTAAAAGAAGTGAGATCTGGCCTTGAACAGGGGACAGCAGCTTGGCTGGAAGATACAGCATCTCAGTGCGTCTACGGTGCCTGTGGTGCTCAGAGCCTTTCTCCACTGGATGAGGCTCCCCATGATAAGCTTTCTTTTAAAAACTCCTGTGACTGAAGAGACCAGGAGAGAGAACCCCTAAACCTGGGATAGGAAATCTCACACAGCAATATTTGAAAACTGCATTTGGGTAATGCAGCGTTAATGGTGCTTTTTTTAACAATGCTGTGATATCATGGCATTAACTGTGTATTAACATTATTATAATCCCCAGCAGGCTTCTAGGGATGGTTAGTACTGATAGACATGTGTTAGGCTCTGAATCTATGATCTCCCGTAACTTTGAATTACTGAGTAGAAGTCTGATAGAGTGTTAAACACAAAAATGCTCAGTAGTGCTTTATTTGGGAAAATGCATTATCGAAAAAGTACGGCAACTCACTAAGGATTAAATCAGTAATACGTGCCCATGTAGAAAACTCACCTAGTACTACACACATAGCCTGATGGAAAGTGCACTGAAGTGAAAGCACAGACTTCCATTTATTCCAGTAGGTCAGGGCCATGAAACACCTTGAAGAGATTTCCACTGAAGAATATCTCCTTGTTGATTTTATTCCCTTCTCCACTCTGCAGCTCAATCAGCGACCTTGGTAGAGTGCAGAGCTTTGTAGACTTCTACACTATGTACTGAACATTGCAATTCTCTGCTAAGTTTTAGAATCTAATTTCTGTTGGTAATGTCACATACCCTGAAGGAAACTCACTTTCTGATTAGATGATTGCAAAAAAATTAAACCATACAAGCTATTTTTCAAGACAGCACCTAACCCAAAACGGTCTGAGAAATCAAATTTACAGAAGGCTTGGGCTCTTGATTTTTGTATACAGATTGCTAACCTTGGGGTTATGCCTAGCTAGACAAAGCCTTAAATCAAGTTCTGCGATTGCTCCTTTAGCCTATAATTATTTGTGTGGGAACCAGATTAAAACCATGTATCTTTTGCCAATGAAAAGTCAGAAAAGATGGCATTTCTTCTACCACGGCCAGAGCCAGGAATTCTACTTGTGTGCTGGCACTGCTCATGAGCATGTGTTCACCTCCTTTTCCAGCTTTATGAACAAGCTGTAGTCCTCTTCATCTGAAGGCTCTCAAGAAGTGTATGTATGAGGAGAAGCTGTATTTATTTTTCCCAGTCTATGTTGCTTTGTCTGTTGCTGATGGAAAGGCACAAAACAATGAGATAAATAAATCTGGAGAGCCTTTTAAGATACTTTTAGGATCCCTGTATTTAGGTTATTTAGGTTACTGTATGCAGCTCTTCCTCAGCTCAGAGGGCTTACTCTGTCTTTCAGAGTAAAATACTTATGCCGTTTATTTGTCTGGTACTGATTTCCCAGAATTGCATAAACATCCAGAGTTATTCATGTGGTTTACTCTGCAGCACTTCCTACCTAATGATTTAAGGTCAGAGTCACAGGAAAAGCTCACAGGAAAAGCGTTTAAATCATTAATGTCACTTACATATACCCTTCTAAACAACGACAAGAATGAAGGTTTTTTAGATCATGTCCCCTATCATATGAACTCATATTTATATTGTGTTTTCCAAGGAAAATGCAGTGCATTTTCACCAAGGAAATTCTGGGGGAGAAAATGTGAACCAGAAAATGAATCAACCAGGCTCTCACATAGGTTTTCAATTAGCACCTGGCTCCCTTTAGAATCCCGGTACAGGTAATAAATGGCCAAGTCTGGCACAACAGGAGTGCCTTCCTACCTGTGCACAGCAGTGTACCACCCGGCTGCAAGCGTGAGGTTGATGGCAACGTCTACTGGGATCATATCTGCCACTGCTTCGTTGTTGGCAATGACAGTCCGGAGAATCCCTTTGCCTGCCTGTGGAACAAAGGAAAAGAGTCACTAACGTAAGACCATGGTAAAATTTCATCAGCTTGGACTAAGGGAACACTGTCATGTTAGCACTTTTCAAGCCTGGCACCTGCTGCAGAAGAGTATTTGGTTTCTGTGGAAACAAAGATGGATCCCAATATTATGTGTTTCCAGAGGAAGTCTGAGACATGATGACGACTGTGCTGCATATAACAAGAGAAGCTGTGACTCTTATTTAATTCAGTATGAAAGAAATACCTTAGGAAAGAGATATATTTGAATTTAATGAAGTAAAATTCCAAGTGATATCTGAAGATACATTTTCTGAAATGACACAGGCTGACAGTCGTCTGAGTGTCCCTCAAAGACAGTAGTTACTTTGGAAATGACACCAATAGACTCTGAAAAGTTTACTTCCTTTCCTTTGGATTTATTCACATCTTCCTCTTCTCAAAAGCTGTATTTGTTAAGCACAAAGATACAGTCAGGACATGGCCCCTGCCTTGAAGAGCTTGCCACCCAATGAAACTCAGGAAATGAACAAGTGAAAATACAAAGTACTGACAACCAATATTTTGCTTTGGTTGGAAGTGCATCTGTGAGGGGATCAGTCTCCCCAGTATGTACATATTTAACCTGAATGTTTATGAAGGAGTTCCCCTCATGACCAATTAGTCTTTGGAGGTTCCATAGGAGAGAGATGGCAACAGATGGCAACAACATGGCAGACTGAATCTAAGAAGACAATTCAGCAATGTAAAAACATGGACATGAAATGGGGTGAAGGAACTTCACATTGTGTGGCACATAGGAGGGCTGAACAGAGCACATAAAAAAAAGAAACCCCCAACAGCAAAGTCAAGGTTGCAATCAAGTTACCTAGCACGTGGGAAATAAAACACAGTGAAGCTGAGGACCCAGTGAAAAACCTGGGAGGATAAAAGCGCTAGTGAAGCAAGGAATTTTCATGAGCTAATACTCCTGAGCAGTCTCTTCTCATCTTTGGTGCAGCTGCAGAGGGATCGTAGACAGACTCAGAAACAGGCAAACATGTAAGTTTTCCTGTATGACTCCATCCTCCTCAAACCCATGGCATGCAGTTAACTTCTGCTGCCCTAAGCTGAACCACACATATGCTTAGAGATTGAAACCTTAACCTGGGAAACCTGGAGCATCCCCTATTTTTGTTTTTCTTACTACTTACTACTGTTCTAACTACTATTTTTCAAGGGATCAAAAGCAAAAAGAACCGAAGGAAGCCATCAAGCTTAGCCATGAATTTTCCACTGCTGTGAACGCACGCCTGCTAAAGAGCACTGTGTGATCAACTGTCACATTTTTATAGGTATGCTGAAGACCTGTTTGAGGTCTTCAAAACTAGAAAGTTTGATGAATGTGCTGCAGACATACCTGTATTCAAGCAGCATGTGATGGTCATATACACATGAATGAATTAGAGATTTCATATATTGTGTATTTACTAAAGACTTCAGGTTTGAGTGTTTTAAGTTACTTTATGCATTGGAAATGGTTTGGTGCTCCTTTATCAGGTATGTCTTGATTTCTCTTTATAGCTGATGACTCTTTTCTCTTTAGTGAAGTAGAAGCTACTGCAGCTGAAGCCTCCAAAATCATTTCCCAGTCTGAGCCTGATGTTTCTGGACAGCCTCCCAGCTGAAGTGCTTTAGGGCAAGTCATTGTCCAGAACATAACTTAAATCACAGTTCTGCCTTACAGATCCACTGCCTTGCAGGGAAGAAGGTCTTTATAGGTAATATGGAACAGTGAGACAAAATGCCTCAATTACAGTCCAGTGGAAATGTAATTAATTTCATTTTGTTCTTCAATCAACAAAGCTTCTCCTCACAGCAGCTCAAGCAACTGTAGGCAAAAGAAACATAATCACATTACCTAGAACAACTTGAACTCCCATATTTCATGAATATTTAAAAGAAATATATCTATTTATGGAATGAAATGATCAAACTCAAATATTGTAGTGGTGGCTGAGGAAAAAAGTCTTCACAAGGTCTGGAGTTTGGATTCTTCCTAAATGATCCCAAAGACCATCTGAACCAAATCTGAGTCTGGGGGTTGTCCTCCATACAGGATGAGCTTGGGCTAGAAGTTAAAGTTATTTTGGTATGGGGGAGACACCTTAAAAACAAACAAACTGACCACCAAAACACTTTGCTTTTGCTTTCTCCATCCTTAATTAAGGCAAACAAAGCTATTTGAGTAATAAATACAGTTTGAAGCCAAGACAGCTGGTTGTAATCACACAACTTGCAGGTAATCAAGCTTAGATGGTGATCATAACTCAGGTAATCGTAACTCAGATGTTGAAGGGTTAATTTTCAAACTACCAAGCAGGAATTACCAATTCACCACATCCAAGTACATTTATTCAAACCATACATTTCTTTCCCTCACCCCCACCTTCTCTCCAGAACAGCAGAAGTGTCTTGGGCTCCCTAATAATAAAAAGTTTTCACTTCCAGATAACTCATACCAGTCCAGCTAAGTTCAGGAACAACTGGAGATGGCAAAAGACAAATACCGTCTTGTCAGCACTCCCCACATGCTTCTCCACATCATGGAGTCTCTGCTCCTGACTGATACTAGCCAACACTGCTGCCCGTAAGGCGAAAGAGTTGTTGGACACAAAAAAATAAACCTGGTGTGTGCACCCTGCACCTATTGTCATTGCTCTTTTTTTTTTTTTTTAATTGGTTAAGTCTTGATATATTTACATATCAAATCATCACATTTCATCACTGGAGAGCTTAGTGCAGATGACAGGAATTTCATTGTATCTTTATTTCCTATACTGACAAACCTCAAGAGTTTCAATCCTGAACCAAAAAATGCCATTTCTGTTTCAAAATTGTTTCACTGCAAGTTAAAGCTTTTCTATAAAAGGGAAGTTATTTACTACACTGACCCTAGAATCTCAAAACCTTTACTTTCCACAGAGTTAATCTGGAGATAAAGGTACAAGCTGGCATCTGTGTGTGAAACATGGCCTGAGTGAAGCAACCATTAATTCTACTGCTGCATTCGGTAGGGCTAGAAAGTTTTTGCTTTGAAGAACAGAAAATACTAGTTACTGGTATGTGTGACAAAAGACAAGCATATAAATTATATGCAAGCTCTAGTGTAAGCACGTAATGCAGACACTATTAAAAACATGACATATGGACAAAATTTCCAGATACTTAACCATTAGCTGTTTTTTTACTTGTTGGCAGATTAGAAGAAAGTAAGAGGGGGGAAATGCTTTTTAAATGACAGAGTATTTGATTGGCATGTTTTTATATGGCTGAAAGCACACAAGTTTGGCCTGTGTTTTCCAACATACCGGCATATGATAACATCTTTACAGCTAGCTGCTGTAGTTTGTCACTTAGGTCATTCACTTGTGGGGAACAAAGAGCAATGCACTCAAACTTTTTTGTATGACATCCATCTTGCAAACCAATTCTGGACGAATTTTTGTTACAGACTAATGCTCAAAAGTAATCATAAAAACATCAAAACTCACAGATACCATTACAAAAGTTAGAACCTATCACATAAAAATGTAAGGAGCGGATCTGCAAAATGAAGTAACTGCAGAACTTTATCGTGATGAGAACATCATGAATGAAACACTGAAAACAGTACAAGATGCTGTGAGTAGAGCAGAGCGACAGTGCCTGCTTTATGAGCAGTCAGCAATGAGTAAAAGGCGGAGGGGTAATTATTTTAAAGAAACTGTGACATGAATAGAAGCTAATAACACTTTGTGAATACAAATTATGTGTTTTGGGGGCTTTTCAATGTCTCCGAAATGTGGGGTTTCAGATAAAAGCATTAGCTGGGATATACCCACTAATTTCAACGGCCCTGTGGATACCAGTAGTAACAGTTTCTATTTATGCTCTAGTTCAGGTATAAATGAGCTTTTCTAACAAGATGATATTTGGATTTTATTCTGCTCTCCTATCATTCTAGACTATTAATCCTTTTATACACACTGCAGCAGGCTGATTACAATAAATTTTTTACAAAATAATCAAGTTGGACAAATCATACATGAACAAAAATATCTGCCCATAGCTATACAGCATTATGTAGTGACAAATAGACCCAAGGCAACATTTTTAGTTCAGAAACAAATACAAGCCAGGAGAAGAGGTACACAACTTTTCTGTTTTCATATGTTAAATTGTTAATGATTGTTTTCATATTACAGGCAATATTTTACCAAGTTATTCATTATTTCCCTGATGGGTTTGTTCCTCAGCATTTTGCACAGTAGTTATTTACACCAGTGTTAAGCAAGGATATAGTGAATTATCCATGTGACTGGAAGTGTGTGAATTGATAGTTACACACATCATTTGGGTGTACTCTACCCATGGGCAAGTGCTGTGTAATGCAATGGCAAGTGAGACCCAGAATCTTTGTGATTTGGAATGGTCACAAACTATAGCAATGGACTTAAAAGCAATAGATATGACAATAAATGAAAGGATGGATAATGCTGCCTTGTACTGATGGTATGGTAATCTGGCCTGGAAAACTAAGTTCTGTTATGACTCAAGTTTTGACACTTGTGATTTACCCTACTTTCAAGGATGCATCTTTTGCCCTTTCTTTGAAAATTTGCCCAAATTTGTCCAGAACTTTTTCAGAGTTTTTAGAGGCTGTAATTCATGTTAGTGAGCCAGCAACATGAATACTCTTTCAATGTCCTTTTTTGAGCACAGCATAAACAGGCAGTCTTTTGGGTCCTACATGCATATAAATGTATGGCAAGTGTGTGACATCTTTCTACGGGATTCAGAAAACTGCTATGATACTTTTTCACACACTGTTTCTAAGTGGGGCTGTAGAGTAACTTTACAGTTGCTATTTTAGGCACTCAAACTCCACTTTAAGGAGAGCTTAAATAGTAACCAGACATACCGCAATAAATATTCCACTTGTGCCATTGAAGTTGTCAATCCAACCCTGCAAAAAAGAACAACGATTACTACTTCTTTCAATGACACATTGCTTACAGTGGCTTTGAAATGGTCAAAAGCTGTAATGCTGTGGTGTAGACAAAGAAGCAACAAGACACCAGTCACAATGGATGCCAGCCTATCTGGGACAGCTGCCAGGAAGCTAGCCAGTACAAAGTACCTAAAGGATTCTAAATAGGGGATGCATTGTACAATACCTCATTCTATCTGCAATTTACCAATCAACAACAAAATCTAATTTTGTTTTTAGAAACCACTTATTTACTATTATAACTTGGCTACAGGAATAAACTCTGGCTTTAATCACTACAGTGTCTTGGTGCTGTCACACTTGCTGAAAATGGTCAGTGTGTTATATACCCTCTGACATACAACATGCAGATGTCACCAAGACTGATTTAGTTACTCCAGCTAACATCTAAGGCAACTGCCACTTGCGGGAGCTAGAGTTAAAAGCAGTGATGAGCTGTCTGACCTGAAACAGGTAATGACACTTAACAGGGTTCACTTTTTTTTTCCAACATGGGAGGTTTGGCTTAGAGCCTTGGCTGTATCTGAGCCATCTTTGGCAGGCTTCAAGCTGCATGAAAGCCAAAGGTGACTTTATGTTGTCTTTGCAATTTGGCTGCAATGTTAGGGCACATTATTCTTACCAGTATGTTTAGCTTAGTGAATTATTTCAGTCCAAAAGTACCGCTGTATTTAATCACTGTGCGGCTGACATTTGTATCTGCAACAGGCCCATGCAAGTGTGAATCCAGAAAATTCAGTGACTACCAACATAAGACAGAGATACCGCACATGACTATCAAATGCTTTCCAAGGAGCATGTGAAGTCCTGTGCACAGTGGGATCTCATTAATAGGCTAACTAGACCATGGAAAGACCCAAAGCAGAATGCATTAGGACTACAACCGACCCTCCTATCTTGTGTTTGCCCAGTTAGTACAGAAACTCCCCTGTGTGCCTGTCTGGACACAGTCCTCTGCCTGTAAGACTGTCAGTTGCAAGTCCAACATTCTGCACCATTATTATCCCAGCCTTGTTATTGTTATTATTGCTTAAATGTGTTCTTTTCACTTGGAGACAAGAGTTTTTCCTGAAGATGTTGAAGTCTTCCTCTTCCACTCCAGCACAAGTCTTCTACCTCTTCCACATGTTTTCCTACGAACTGGAATACCTGTTTCTCAAGCAAATAAGTAGGTAGACAAGTAGGTACAAGTGGGGAGAGATTTCCTGACAGTGCTGCAGCTGCAGCAGTTATCACAGAATCATAGAATAGTTAGGGTTGAAAGGACCTTAAGACCATCTAGTTCCAGGCCCCCAAAGACCTCTCAGCTTACCGGGACATTACACATATTAATGCTTACTGGGAAAGGCTCATGCCAGCTAGCTCCCACAATGGATGGCCTGATGATAGCAATGTTCAGGTTTCCTTTCTCTTGCTGAATCAAGTATTCTGACAAGGCTTTGGTGTAGGTGTAAGTGTTAGGCCAGTCACCGAGCAGCTTGGGTGTAATGTCTTCAATGATAGACTCATCCAGCCACCTACAGGAAACAAGGAGACCATAATTACCTGCTGTACAGAGAAAGAAAAGACAGGAATACTCACCTGAAACAAAGGACAAGCCAGTCAAAGCCATTTAAGACAAAGCAAGGAGCAAGGAGCAACTGGTCTGGATTTAGAACAGCTCTGTAGGAGAAAGGTTACTTTTGTCCTCAAAATGCAAAATAACCCTTGTGAGCTTCACGCTATGCTGTCCAGCTCAACTTCAGGCATCTATACAATCACATTGTAAAGCAATCTCTTGTGTGCTTTATGCTTCACTGTGATCTGTAACAAAAATAAAGCGGTGGTCTGATTGAGGTTTCCAGCCAAGCACTCTAACCAGGTAGCGCTCAGCCATAGCCAACACAGTCCCTATATGCTCCCAAGCACATTTCATGAGATTCCTGGTAACCTTGAGTTCCTGAGTTGAGTAGCATTATGAAGGTCTCAAAAGCCAGAACAACATAGTAGATGGATAGCATTCTAGTATCACTAGAAACAGTGTTAAATGCTCCTTCCCACCCATTTTCCACAAGCTTGTTGACATAGGGAATTAGGAAACTGTCAGTGCTAGCTAAGTAAAAAAACCCCAAACAGAAGTGTTTTGTTTTTTGAAACAAAACCACCCCAGTATTTTTTTTAAGGTATTCAGGTATCTAATCCATCAGAAGTAGTTATGCATATACCTCTTAAAAAGTGGCCCTCACCACTGCAGTGCTGCAGGGATGGCCTAAGGCTCAAAGGCCCTGGCACACCTTCAAGACATCACTGGTCCTGCCAGCATTTGGGTCTAAAGGACAGGAACTGGACGTACTTCCAGAGCCCTTGCACTCCGCTGCCAACCCCTGACAGGCTTTCAGCAGTCTGGTGTTACACCACAGAAACAAAGATTAACTCCTATAATCCAATTTGTAATTAAGTCAATGGAGTTCAGACTGAACTGCTGTGCTCTTCCCAGGGGCATTGCAAGGATACTGTTCCCTGCATATCCCTGCTTCACCCCTCCTTACCCTGAATTTCAGAAGCAGGTGGAGGTCAGGGGGAAAGGAGTGAGGTTGAAACTGGCACACCTGAAGAATTACTTGATTATATCACCTTAAACGTGCAAACACCTGATGGCTCAGGTGGCACACTGCTTTTTGGATGGCTTTCATCAAACACAGACGGAAATACTACAGGAAAACTGACAGATGAGAAAACACCGATTCACTGAAACTGCAGAACAGTTCACATGGAAGGGTTGAATTCAGCGATCCTTCATGTTTGGAGCACATTCAAAAGATGCTGGCAGGTTTTAGAATATAGATTTTTTTTAGTTAAAAAAAAGGCCTTGTGGAGGCACAAATACCTTCCTTTGCAACCCTAGTCCCATACTTCAGAAACACGCATGGCAGAAAAAATGTTTAAGCATAAAATATGAAGTTGAACTACACTGAGGCTATAAGCAGCACACAATATTGACTTAATTTACAAAGCCTGCTTAGGCAGCCATTGAACCCAGCCTCCTCAGGGGCTCAGCTAAATTGCAGTTGTTTGAATCTGTTGAGTAATTAATTACCAGGCTACCAAAAGGAGATGTCTATTTCTGCAGAGCCTGAAGACTAGGTTCATTTGGGAACTCAGACTAAGCTGCATACAAGCCTTCTTCCCCTTCTGTTGCCTTCTATTTGTATATTTTTACTTAACTAATAGATATAGCTCACATGTTAGCATTCTTATGAAGCAAAGGCAGGTGTAGAAGTACAAGGAAAAGCAACTTCCCCTAGTCCTCATCCTTCCCAGACAGGCCTCTGCATTACTTTCAGTGGCCATCAAGGGGACCACACTCCTGCCTGTCTCAGGGTACCACCCTCCCAGGTGATTTCATCTACCAGCACTATCATCACAGGAGCGCTGAGCTGACAGTTCAGTGAGGTGAAATGGTCCTCTTTTCCTGTGACCTACTTTGAAGATTTTGAAATGCTAAATCACAAAGCTATGTCTTTTGCTCACTGCTGCAATTGCCAGTAGAAACAAGAGATGCAAATGAAACCATTAGTAACCTCTTCCTTCACCATGTATATGTGCCAAATCACTCTGCCATAGGAAAACATAACTGTGTTAACCGCTTTGCATTAGTCAGATGCTCTCTTTCTTGTAAATAATGACGGATCTACGTTTTCTGCAATAACAAACCCAGTTTTTCTTCGCTGTGTGCTGTGTTGCTTACCTCAGCACACCCTTCAAAGCTGATTTCCCTCAGCTTTAGATTAAGGCAAATCTTGCTTGATGTGGCAGATTATACGTTTCCTCTATTGGCCTGGCAGCACTTAGAAGTGTGACTTTTGGTTTACACAGATTAAGCCTAAGGCTTTAGTTGCAGGTTAAACGTCAAAATACAGGAAAGCAGGGATATAACAGGAGGATAAGAACAGAAAAAAGAAAAAGCTGGGAGTCCTATTTGGGACTGTGTAAACTGCATAAAGAATCATATGCATATATCAAGTGCATGGCTAAAAGTATGATTAAATAAGTCTGTTATTGCACCCATTTGTGTGATCATACCCCCTAATGCACTTGCAGAAGAGCACTTTAAGACAAGAGTTGTTTGCGAAAATAATCTTTCACAGCTGGCTGATGCAAAGCATGACATGCGTTTCTTCTCCCTTTTTGAAGGGAGTTTATATTTTCTTGTCTGCTTTATTCCTCCCCCCCCCTTTTTGAAGGTAACGTTCTGATACCTGTTCGTCTTTCTCTTAAACCTTCTGTACTCAGATATTCACGTATTACTTCTTCCACTTACATGCAGAATTACTCCACTTCCACATCCACTTACAAAGGTGCATCACTCTGATCTCCTTACAACCCTGCTTTGTCTTCTCTCTCTCTCTCTCTCTCTCCAAGTAATCCTCTGCCCTTCACAGTTTCTCAGTTTTCTCTATAACATTCTGCCTGTGTTCTGTCATCCCAACATATAATCAGATTGGTTTGAGTTGGAAGAAACATTAAAGACCATCCAGTTCCAATCCCTTACCATGGGCAGGGACACCTTTACTAGATCAGGCTGCTCCAAGCCCCATCAACAACGGGTGCTCAACATCCCAGGGGCTTTCCCCATCCTGCTCCTTCACACACTCTGCAGCCCCATGCATCTCTTTATATGTTGCCTTTGATTTCCAGAACATCTTCGAAACCAATGACCCTGGAGACAAGGGTCAATTTTGAACAAGGCCCATCTGATTTCAATGCCTTTGAAAGCAGTGGTTTCACTGCTGTGTTGTTGTTGCTGTGACAATACTGTAAAGAAAAAGATGTCATCCTAGCTGAGGGCATGCTGTGATTTCTCTTTCACTGAAAGTACCAGAAGGTGGTGAATTCTGGAGTGTGAAAAACAGGGAAAACAGAAAAAAAAATAATTTAAAATATAGTAAAAGAGCAAGAACCCTAATTTCTAATTATGTGGCTAAGAAAAAGGCCCTCAGTACCAAGATAAACACATTAAAGCACACTCTGACAGCCCATCCTGTCACTCAGCCTTTCTTTCAAACACCATTCTCTCTGCTGCATATGCAAACTACAATAAATAAATTCTTGGTGTCTTACATGAAGCAGCTGAAGTAGCTGGGGTAGCCAGGGGTAACCTCTGGGGTGGCCAGGCACTTCAACATATTCCTGATTAGCATTCAGACCTTTGCTGGAGTCTTATGTCCAAAGTTGCAAGTAATGGTAAGTTTTTGGGAGCAGTGAAATGTATTATTGATAGTGATGAACCCCAAAGGACACTGTAAAACTGAGTCAGTGGTCAAAAAGGTGGCAGATTAGCTTCACTAGAAATAAAAATAAGATAATGCATTTAGGGAAAAGTATTCTAAATTGGTCTTAGAGGTTACAGAACTCAGAACTGGCAGCTGCAGCTCAGTAAGAGCTAGCTGATGGCTCTATGAATCTCAAAAGTCAATGAGTAGCAACAGACAAAAAAAGTCACTAACATGTTGGACATCATCATGTACTGAGAGCAAGACCAATGGTGTCATTCTGAAACTGTTTAAATAAAACTTTAAGTTACCACACCTTGAGTACTTCATCCAGTTCTGTCTGGCCTCTGCACCTCAGAGTGGAATTAAAAAAGAGGCAGAGAGGAAGGGCAACTAAAATCATCAAGAAGATAGATCTGTGGGCATATGAGGAGGCAGTAAAAAGGCTGAAACTCTGCGATCTGCAGAAAAGAAGGTCCAGGCTGAATGAAATACAGATTTACAGAACTGCACAGGCAGTAAATAGGGCAAATGCTACAGATACTGCAATGCTATGACTATGGGACATGTAATAAAACTACCAGCATGACAGTTTGAAACAGGTAAAGAGAGCTTGTCTGTACACAGCAGTTGGTTGATAAACTGGAACCTGCTGCCACAGGGGGTTGCAGAGGCAGAGTACCAGAAAGATCCAAAAGGGATTGAACAAATTAGTAGATTCAAAAACAGCTCAGAAAAGAACAGGACATAGCACCCCTCATTCATACAACAGTTCTGGTTTCTGGGAAGCTACAAGGGGAATGGGCTGCAAAAGTACCCAGATTGGTGTAGTCACCCTAACGAGCATCTCCCAGTGCCACTGTTCAGAGCAAGATATTGGGCCAGGCAGTCCATTGCTATCATGCACTAGGGCATTTCTTTTATCATGCTCCACTTGCAGAATAAATGATAGATGGCTACTAGCTGGAAGTAAACATGCCAAAGAATAGAGGCTACTGGAGAAGTTGAAATAGAGAACACTGATTTCTACTAAATTTTCTGGAGTAGCACTTAATGAAATTATTTCTTTAGACAAACATTTTATTGAAATAAAATCCTAGTGCTTCTCCTATTGGACATGAATTAATCTCATCTCCTATTACTGTAAATGAAGGAGAAGAAAGATTTTATACCAGCTCTTTGGGTTACAGTTCATGGGTCAACTGCTTATACCACATAAGTAGCATATAACTAGAAAATAAATGAAAACAAAACTACAGCTGTGGGAAAATTCTCTAAGGGGAAGGTTTCCTGGGGCCTTTATCAGTAGATTTTGTTATTCTTTGTAATTATTCTTTGTTTCAGTAAATGCAGTTAAACAAGCTTTTTTTGTTGTTCCCTTGAAGTCCTGGATTCTCACACTGAACTCTCTAAGAAACAGCCCTTTTCTGACTTACTCCCATATAATTCCAGTTTAATACTTGTTTAATACCACAGAATTGTTGAAAAAGATGGAAACACATTGGGAAGCTGAAGAGATAAAGGAATAAATATATGGTATATGAAAAATATCAGTTCTTACTAAGGTAGCAACAGAGGTAAGGTAGACTTACAGAAAGCAGCAACACAACTCCATTCCTTATTAGCAAATACACTTGTGTGTTAATACACTCAATGCTGGACTCCCATGAAATTACACACTCTTTTTAGAACTGTGTGAAAACATTCAGAGGTAGCTGGAATTGCAGGGTTAATAAGTGCAGTTTATGCTATTTCCTAACACTTTGTATCTGGAGAAGTATTCTTCAGCTCAACCAAATGTTTATAAAGCATGATTCCAGCAGCTCTCCAGATACAAAAGCTCCAAGCCAGAGTCTGTATTTCTTCTGATTTCAAAAAATGAAACAACTCAGTAAAGCTAGTTTCAAGATAAAACAGAAAGGACAGACTTACTGGATGACATTCTGTGGACAGTACCACCCAAAAGCACATAGGACAACAGCTCTCTTTTTCTTTGGTCTCACCCTCATAGAACCATAGAATGACCTATGTTGGAAAAGACCTTTAAGATCAAGAAGTCCAACCATGACTGCCAAGGCCACCACTAACCCATGTCACTGAGGGCCTCGTTTACACAATTTGTGAACACTTCTAGGGACTGCCCTGGGCAGCCTGTTCCAGTGCCCTTTTGGTGAAGAAATTGCTCCTAATGTTTAACCTAAACATCCCCTGGCACAGCCTGAGACTGTTACCTCTTGTCCTGTCGCTTGTTACCTGGGGGAAGGGACTGACACCCAACCTCTCTCCATTCTCCTTTCAGGCTGCTTTAGAGAGTGATAAGGTCCCCCCTGAGCCTTCTCTTCTCCAGACTAAACAACCACAGTTCCCTCAGCTATTCCTCATCGGGCTTGTGCTCCAGCATTTCTTGCTGGCATGGGTGTGTGCAGACAAGGCAATACAGCAGTAACAGCAACTATGAACAGAAACCCCACTGGTGTGGGCAATGTGAACAATCCAGAGGTCTTCTGCAGAATGGCGCAAAACCAATGTCAGAAGAGGTGATGCAGTAGGCAAATCCTACTTACTCTATTAAATCAAAGAGCTTCTTGGGTTCTGCTGGGGGTGGGTAGATGATTTCATCTATGCATTTCCGGACACAGTTTGCATAGGCAGTAGAGATATGGATGAAGGCCTCAAGGTTCTGCATCTGCCGGGCCAGCTCTAGAAGTCGCTGCGTGCCCAACGCATTCAGTTGCAGGGCATGTCTAAAGAGAGTGGGGGAAGGAAACAAAATGTGTTACACTGGAAAGAATATATGGAAGCTGAGCATTATACAAATCTCAAATAATGAAAATGGATGTAGGAGAAGAGAATGGATCACAGCAGAGCAGAAAGCTTCAATGCAATGCAAGGGCTAAACCAGCTTCCAGTTAGGTTTACTGTTCTGGCCACAGAAAGTCTCTCAAATATTTTTACTCAGTTTGAATGATCAGAGGTAACATTCCTCTAACATTGTTAAATTTGACGTATTTACCACCCCTTTCTGGAACAAATATTTCCAAAACAGATGACCACAGAGGTGTTATGGTTCCTATGGTGCCCTGTCAACTTTCTCTTTAAGGGACCACTGCTAAACCAGATAAACATGGTTTCAGCAAGCAGCAAAAGGTCCTTTGGCCCAGGAAAAGAGATTCATACTGAAAGAAACTCAATTAGAGAGAACAGCTTGAATTCCTAAGGAATGGAGAAGACAGCTAATAAACATAAGAGAAAAAAAGAGTCCTGGTTAGCAAGGTTGACCCTGAAGCACAGAGTGTTACTAGAAGTTGTCCTGGACCTATCTGCAATGGATCTCAGTGAGCAGATGTTCAACTCTGTTGCACGCTTTGTACTGTAAGGAAGACACTTTCCTGCACAGAAGGGAAAAGGCTAAGGAATATGCAATCTGTTCAGCACAGGAACATAAGCTTTCAACAATGCATACGAGATTATAAATAATGCTATTAAGTACAGCGTATACTAAAGAAATTAATTATATCAACATTGAAGGGAAATTGTAAATAGTCCTGATGAATGAAAACAGCAGCTAAGAGTATGATTAATGTTTGCATCACAATATCTAAATTCAGAGATACTTATTTTTTTTTTAGTATGATGCTACTAAGAATAGAGTTTTCTACATATTTCTTTTTCCTCCTGCTCTTCTAGCAGGATGAATCCTTTACTTTAGCTATACTTCACATGAAAGCTACTCTTCCATGTACATTTCTATTCAACCATATCCCTTCTGAGAAAGGAAGAACAGGACTGCGCTCAGAATACAGGCCCAGCACAGATTGCTGCTGATATGGTCAGAGTTCTTTCAGCCTTCCAGGGGAAGTTCATCTAACCCTGGTGATTTGTTACTCTTTTTTTTCCTATTTATATTAAAACTGCATCTACTGATATTTCAGTATAACAGAGTTTCGCAGATTTCTACCCTCAAGAGTTCCATCTGGAGAACTCCCTAAATGTACTGAGTGTTGATGCCAGTAATTCAGCAGTTTCTCTGTTGCTGCCTTTCTAGTATCTTGATAGCACTGCTTTTGCACCTCCCTTTTCTATCGGCTCTACATATTCTGTGGTAGGCTTTGGAGTTCTGCCCTGTTTAAAAAACATTTTTATTTTTTTGTGTTGTTAGCAAGTTGCTGCTCAAACCTCTTATTTCAGCAGCAATATTGTGCTTTCACATTTAACTTGTTAGAGCTTTTACTCATGTGATAGATTTTATTACTCAGATAGGAATAATTTCATTTTAACAACTTCTACTATTTTGCCATTTAATCAAATCTGCCTGCAAGCAGATGACCACTTAAACTTTTTCTTTTAACTGCTTTCTAGCTAGCCTCCTTATTAAAAATGTAGTTTCCCTTTGATGCCACTGAGACATATTTTTCATAGCATTTTCATTCATGTATTGATTTAAAATCATTTATAGGTATTAATGCAGTGCAGTGCTTTGCTACTTATATATTCATTCAGGTTCTACACATGGCTCAAGATTATGTCAAGAGCTGCTTCCTTTCTGGTGGGTTCTCTACTTGTTGCAAAAAGCAATTATTTATGGTGGACACACTGGATATCTATTTAGCCTACATATGAGCAAATGAAGACTGATATTAGTAATTGTGTTTTCTACTCTCAGTGTTTTCCAAGAAACTGTGAAGATCTGACAATCCAGAGCATCCCCCTTGGTTTGTTAACCTTTATGATTCGCATAGAGGCATTCACACATCTAATCTTGGTTTAATGGCTTATTTCTTAATGGAAAGCCTGCCTGGAGAGGCATTCCCAAGGGAGCTCCTTCAGAAACTGAGCATTTATTGTAAACAGTTAATTACTCTGAGTGTTGGGTATTAAAAAACTTGGGATAGGCTATTTTCTTAAACAACATCTTATTTTCCTCTCAGTTTCTCAGTGACAAAGAAAGGCCATTAACACTAACTTTAGAGACAGACACAACACAGTTTCACTTCAAGCTGTCTCCAGCTAGTTCTGTCAAAATATCTCCCTCTTGACCTAAACCACACTTTTCCCTATCCCCATTTTAGGTCAAACTTAACTCCCTTACTATGTTACAACCCAAGCTTGCAGTACTTCCTTCTGTTCCCATGGAAATCTGCCAAGACACTTCACTTTTGACGTGCATATGCACATGACATTTTCAGAGCATTTACATTGCACACGCAGTGCAGAACCACATGTAGCATTGGAAACGTAAGTGGAGAGCTATTACCACTGCTATACAAGAGATGCACTGAATGTTGTATTATAAGCTATCATGCACTCTGAATTGTGCTCAGTGAATACAGAAAGAAGAAAGGAGCACATACTTCAGGGGTTCATCAAAGCGAACTGTTGCTGCACAATGGAAGACAATATTGATCCGGGTCAGAAGCTCCTCTTCATCTTCAGCACTGATGGCCAGCTTGGGCTGAGTGAGTTCAGCATTAATAGGCTTAATCTTCTCGTGGAAATTAGGGCAATCTTCTCGGACCCTGTCAAAGACCTTGAATCACAAAGAGAGAGAGACCAGGTACAGAATTAGGCTACTGAGATCCCTTTGATTAGCAGTCTGATCATGTCAGTCAAACAAAACTGTCACAAAAGAGAATTCCTGATTCTTTCAGAGGGAGGACACAGGTGAGATGATAAACCAGTTAATTCATTTGTTCCCTCTCACAGGAAAACCTCACAGGGGAAACAGAACAAAAATACAGGAGGTAATGCATTGCCCTAAAGAGAAGAATTACTCTTCTCTGCACCACTCATTTCCTGGGACTGCCACTGAAAATACCATATTTCCACATCTCCTGCAACCACTTGCTCTTTGACCTCAAAGGCTGCCTGTAGGACCATAACAGGAGCTAAAGAGGAGGAGTGCAGAGTACAGAGTGGGAAAACCTGTGAATCATTAGACTCAAGCAGTTTTCTTGGTGGTTTTACAAAGGACTTGAGTAGAGGAGAGGAACAGGGCACATTTTGGCTTCTCCCTTTGCTACTCTTTGCCTACTGTCACTCTTTGCTCATGTCAGATGAGTCAAACTGCCTTTGAGATGGAAAGATGGGGAATCTCAATAACCCATACTGCTAAAGCTGTTGACTGCCATCAGCAATTTTGCAGAACTGGAAAGTGCAGGTAGTTGGCCTCTCAGGCTGTCTTCCAGCCCTTTTTTCCTATGAGTATGATCCACAGCTCTTCCCAATGCACATTTTCTGCTCAGCCTTCTACAGAATGACAAGACTGCATCTGTCCACTAAAAAGTCCCCTACATTTCCATATACTGTTCTGTCTGATGACTTGCCCAACCCAGCTTTTGGCACCTTGCTTTGCCTAAAATCTGAGATGGCAGGTACCCTGAACAGTGAGATAACTGTGCACAAACCTCCAAAAGAAAATCAATACTGTCATCACCTGTCAGTACCTATATGAAAACAGCAGTTTCCTCAGTTCCTATTTTTACTCTGAGTAGCTCAGTCACTGATAACAGTATAGCAGGTCTGGGTGCAGTTCTGCTTGCACTGTGAAAACAGATGCCTACTGCAGGTTCCGTATGGAGACCTTTTAGTTGGTCAGTCTCACAAAGATGAAGCCTGAATTTCAAAACACTACATGAGCATGCTGGAGTAGTCTCTGAAAAAAAAAAATACCTTAAGTTTTAGAAGCATCTGTTCTAAGGGGTTTGTACTGTTGGCCAGCATTACTGCATTAAAGTTCCTCTATTTGGGGTCAGAGTGACAAGAAGGGTAGAAAGGATAAATAGAATAGAGACGCTGTGGGATCTGAAGAGGTATAAATCTAGATTTCAAAGGATAACCACACTTAAAAGGTAACTAGACTACTAACAAGAAAAAATAAGCACTGGGAGAGGTTGCTGGTGAGTGCTGTGCGCCACTACCTTTGCATGCAAGAACTGTCTAGATAAGCACTGCCAGGAAAGGCAGGAAATACTGAGCCTGCCTTGGGGTAGGAGGACATGCCAGCTGGCTTCTTGGTAGGTCTGTTTTTGGGTGATTCCTCTACTCTGTAGCTTACTAACCAGTAACAATGAGTTTGTAAATCTCTTTACTATCATGGCCTCTTGTTTTTCTAGAGATTGTTCTGTCTTTGATTTGCCCAGTGCTTATGTAAGAGTGGAAATGGTGTGACATGAATTAAACATACTAAAAGAAAAAGACATATGAATGATTAAACTGATACTAACAGCAATATTTTCTTGTATGACTAAGGGACTGCCATCTTCCTGTTTATCTGACAACCAAATTTAGAGAAACCTCAACGTTCTTAGGGATGAAGAAGTTAAAAGAAAATCATTAGCCTTCCGCACTATGCAGCACACTCTATACTTGACTTCATGTATTTTTCCTTAAGACACAGCTGCACATCCTTCATAAACCTGAAACTTCAGCAAGTTAACAGAAGTCACGACAGGGTAATATTTCATTTCTCTCAGTTGCACCCAACTACATGTGTATTCCTGTAATGTCTAGGCCAGAGAATAGATTTCTAAACAGAGAAAGCTAATCATCAACAAAGATGTTGGTGAGAGCCAGCTGGACTGTAGGGACTCAGTTCCCAACAACTTACGTTCAGAACAAGGTACTAGCAGCATTAACATCAGTAAAAAACTTGTCTTCTAACAAGAGGGTGCTAGATTTGCTGTCCAAATAGGCATCATCGCATGAGAGGTCACACATGAGCAAGCCCCAATGAGACAGAAAATCAAAAGGTTTCTCAGACAACCCATGTAAGACCAACGCCTCCTTGTCAGAGTTTTAGGAACAAGTCTGCATTTGTTTGTTCTTTTGCAAAGAGAATGTAAAACTCCATCCAATGAGAGTTATTTTATACTGGGTTTACTTTGGCATAAATAATGCAAAGACAGAGGAAGAATGAATCAGCCCTTTCTCCATTGCAGACATGGCATATAAAAAGAAGTGTAGTATTTCTCCTGTGCCAGCCTTGATCAAATTTGGACAGTTATATTCTGCCTACATGCCATCTTCTCCTGACATTCCTGTTGCAGATAATACCTCCTTCAGTTTCTGTGCCTACTGCTAGGTATTTCCTACTGCCACATGCCACTTAACAGCTGTAGTTTTCACCCCCTCTGATGATTCACTGCATTTCTCTGAAAGATGAAGGCAATTTCTAAATGCAAGCTCATAAATCAGCATACTGCTTTGGAAACCTTCTGGATCACAAGAACATTCAGTTCATTGTCACCATTAAATCAGATAACAGGAGCAGCTGTTTAATCAAAGTTTGCACCCTCTTTTATGGAATTTGAAGATTTCAGATTTGTCAGTGCTTTGCAGGGAAGTGCAAGAAGATTTAAAGACAAAACAAAGGCAGCTTATTCCATACTGTGTCCTATAGTTCAAAGAGAGCTTAACATGAAGATGATGCTTAGTCTGCAGGTAAACAGTAATTTTGATTCTGCTCTGAATTCTGATTAGTTCACCCAGAGTATATATAATAAATCCCCAGTAACTGCATGAAGCCTAAGGATTGTTCTCTCTCTTCTTTTTAGAAGCTGTCTGCCAATGCAAAATATATTCAGTGGACAGAAGTGGGCTGGCGTGCTGTACTGTTGGAAATGCACAAAAAACACTGGCCAAGTCAGCAATGCTCCAGAAGTGATACATGAATTGCCACAGAATTATAGTTAAGAGAGATGTTTGATTTCAAGTCATCCAGTATTAAATTGAGGGAAATAAATAATAAAATATCTTGAGTTCAGTGTCTTTGAGCATCTTAATGCGTTCCAGAGGCAACACTGCTGCCTTGACCAAAACACAATAAATAAACCTAATAGCCGCTATTCTCACTTTAAACCTCAAATGGGATGCATGTTTTGCATAGGCTGTGTGGCCCCTCAACAGAGGTGAGAATTTCACTCTTAAAATTTGCTGATTTTTTCTTACTTTACAACCAGGCAATTCCCATTTATAGTAATAATCTAATCTCTGCGATTTCGATGTTGTCCTGGGTTCAGCACTAGCAGTCATTTTTCTCCTTCTTAGTAGCTGGTGCAGTGCTGTGGTTTTGACTTTTGGCCTGGGAACAGCGCTGATAACACCGATGTTTTTAGTTACTGCTCACATGTTTAGTCTGACCAAGGACTTTGTGAGCCCCATGCTCTGCCAGGGAGGAGGGGAAGCTGGGAGGAAGCAGAGACAGGACACCTGACCCAAACTGACCAAAGAGGTATTCCATACCACAGCACATCGTGCCCTGGATGTAACTGAGAGTTACCCAGAAGGGCTGGTTGACTGTGGGGTTGGACTAGGTATCGGTTGGTGCTCGGTTGGGCTGGGGGGGGGGGCAGTTTTTGGTTGGCGGGTGGTGAGGTGTTGTATTCTCTTCCCTTGTTATTTCCTTTATCATTATTATTATTGTTGGTAGCAGTAGTGGTTTGTGTTATACCTTAGTTACTAAACTGTTCTTATCTCAACCCGTGGGGGTTGCATTCTTTTGATTCTCCTCCCCATCCTTCTGGGAGCAGGGGGAGGGCAAGAAGGGGGGGAGTGAGAGAGAGACTGTGTGATTTATGGCTGACTTTGTTTAAACCACGACAAATATACGTTGTCAAGCGCTTACTATGAAAGCGGAACATCTACAATTACTCCAACATTATACCTAAGTATGTTTGATAGGCATCTCTTTCCCTATTTTTGCCCACTTAAGCTCTGACCTCCCTTCCCAAAGGAATCTCTAACACAGTGTTCTCTGCTCTTGCATGAAAGCATGTAGTAGTTCAGAGAGATTTCTGCCCATCAATCATTCAATCAGAAATTTTTCACGACCACAAAGATACAGAAATCTCAAAGAAAGGGCAAACTGCATATCTATGGAACAGCACAGCTGAACAATAAAGGAAACACTGAACAATGTAAAATGCCAAAGGCTTTGCATCTTCCTCAGAAGACATTTTCAGTGAAGCAAATACAAACTAATGAAAAGTAGAGTGCCTAAGCCATGGTTTACTTTAAAAAGAAACTTGCATGAGTTTGGTTTGTAACTGCCTTTCAAAGAAGCCATGGTAGTCCTTCCTTTTTTGGACTTACCAGTCCACATGCCTAAAAACCACTATCCAAATTATACTATTTTAATCAAATGTTGCCAGCTTTTTTGTTTTTATGTAAGAACAATAAAAAATGGTCTTCGCTGGTGCACAGTGTGACTAGGTGTGTTTAATAGTTGCTGGGATATTAGGCTTCACTAGGAGGATTATTGGAAGATGGTAACTTAAAGTATGCATATTTCAAGTAATTACTGTACAAGAACATTTAGAATGGAGAAAAATGAGAGAATTCCCACACAATCTCACATATGAGAAACTACTGAGAAGAGTAAGGTTGAAGAGTTCAATTAAAAAAAGGCAAAAAGCCCCTGCCCTTTCAGATAAAGAAATGGAAGGGATTGCTTAGCATAATTCAGGAGAATATAAGCACGAATTGCTTCTGTGAAGGATATACGATTTATTCTAAGCAAGACACAGGCCA